CCCCCTCCCCCAATTCTCCATCCCCTTCTCTTCGGGTCTCGGAGGACCCCGTCCTAGCCCGACCTGTTTCGGCCTGCAGCCTCTGCGAAGCCGTCGGTGCCGCTCACCGTCCATGTGGGCCCCCGAGGGCTGCCCACGCCTGTCCCCCCGCTCCCCGCTCCGCTGGGCTTTCCCCTTGCCGGGGGTGGCCTTCTGAGCCGCCCGCTCGGTGTCCCTCTCTCCAGCCTTTCCTGCCACTCGGGGCCCCCGTTCCCCCTCCCGGAGGCGGGGGGCTGCCCCCGGGGGGCTGGCGGAGCTGGGCCGCGGGGGCCCCGCGGCCGGCGGTGCCGGGGTCATCGGGATGATGCGGACGCAGTGTCTGCTGGGGCTGCGCACGTTCGTGGCCTTCGCCGCCAAGCTCTGGAGCTTCTTCATTTACCTTTTGCGGAGGCAGATCCGCACGGTGAGCCTGGGTGGTCCCTAGTGGCTGCCGGGACCCCTACCTGTGGTCCCCGCAGGATTTCGGAAAGTGATGGGCCTCTCTGGGCCTAGGAAGGAAGTCCTGTAGTTGGCTTCTCCTGCTGGAATATCGGGGCACCCTTGAGGCCGTGGGTGGGGTAGGGAGGAGGGAGACCTTTGCAGGAGAGCTGATAGATCTGGGGGACTTTGATGGGCCTAGACGGCAACTCTTGGGGCTAGCCTGGCGGGTGGGGCCCTCTTTAAGAAAGCCGAGGTTGTATTTAAAGAAACCGTGAGGCGGGAACACCTGTTTGATGCAGCCGGATCTGTTCTTGTGGCTTTATGAAAAACCCTCTTGTTTGGAACCTCTCTGTGTGTTTCCTGATATAACAAGGACCAGAGAGGCTTATGTGTCCCGGGTGGGGGAGGATGAGAGGGCATTTGTGACACACCAGGATAGGAACCCGGGAACATTCATGGGTGTGGAGGAGAATCTACCGCATTAGGGGAACTTATCCAGAAAGGCTCAATAAATTTGTACTGTGAGTGTGGGTATCTGGGTTTCCTGAGACCTTGGGACTGTGTCGATGCCTTTATTGATAGGCTCTGATGGCTTAGTCCAAAGAGCCTAGTTGCTCTGGCAGTTCCAGTGCACACACTAGTGGCTCCTTTGGAGAAAGATGGGCAGTTTCCACCTCCGTGGTTAACAACCTGCGGAACCGTTGGAGGGTTAGCTATGAGTTGGTTCTGTGTGACTGGGGTAGTCGAGGTAGGTATGTCAGAAACGGTGAGATTGGCACAGGATAGAGCAGAGTTTAGTGCTGTTGTACCTATATGGTCGATATGAATTGCAGGCGACTCCACAGCACGTAACAGTGGCAGAGTTTAGAGTTTGATGGTGGGAGTTTAATTGTGGGAGGGAGCACATTAAAACTTGGGTACTCTTAACGGGAGAAGATGTTTGTCAGCTGTTGGAGTTGAATCTGGGGACACAATTTGTTTCTCCAGAAGACCCCAGCATTTCAAAGAGCACCAGGGAGTAGACACTGGGTGAATATACTAAAGCATCTCTGTCCCCTTTCCCATATCTTTTCTCCAAGATCAAAGCTCCTTAGGGCTAACATCATTTCATGACTGTGTCCTTGTGTTCTCACCAATGGGGAGAATTTGGAGAAATAACTGGGCAAAACCCAGTACAGAGGTCCTCTTGTCTGTATACATTGAGATCTCTCAGTAAAAGCTGAAAAACTAAAATCAGGTGGAATCTGCCTGGATTCAAGAATTTCAGAGAGCCCTGGCTGGTGGTAGTGGCTGACTTGATTTGTGGGAATGGGTTTGGCTGTTGGTTCCCTCTTTACCAATCTACTTCCATACACTGATTTAAGATACGGATTGTTCTGGATGATAGAGGTTGTAGCAGGGAGCTGTTTCCCTGAGACAGCTGAGAGCCAGGAGGAACTGAGGGTCAGATATGCTGATGCGGTGGGGGTTCCAAGAAACCTAGAGTTTTCCTCCTGTGCTAACTGTTGGCCTTACTGCCTGAGCTTGTCCTGAATAGCTCTTTGGTATTCCTCCTCTCTTCCCTCCGACACACCAGTATTCTGCTTTAGATGCAGTGAGTGGTGCTTCAGTCCTTTAAGAGGATACTTATTTTCAAAATTGTCCTTTGGATAATAGCAACCCCACAGCCTTTTGTCATCTCCTTGCTTCCAGTTTGCCCCCTCCCCCTTTTTTTCTGGCAGATGCTTGGAGCATTCCCTGCATGCCCATCATGTGCAACCTGAGCTAACAGAGCACGACACCCGAGCTGTTTCGGCCTTCATCACGGCCAGGAGCGAGAAGGGCAGATGGCTCAGTATTGGGGAGAAGGCCCTTTAGGTTGTGAAGGGGGAGCCAGTTTCTGGTGAGGCTTGGTGCCTAGAGGTAAACAGAATGGCATGTTTGTGCCTAGAAGAAAAGAGCTGAAGTGGAAATGGCTTTGTGGGGAGGTCTGGGTATGAGGAACCAGGAGCTCCAGGGAAGACGTGCCAAAGCTGAGACAGAAAGCTGAGGTGGTGACATGCTTGTCCCTTCCTCACCTCTCACTCATAGCTCTTACTTCAGCCTGGCCTTCTCCTTACCCCGTCACTTGGTCTGGCAAGTGGGGCTGCCCAGTGTTGCCTGCCTTGCCCTGGGTACCTGGCCAGGAGGCTAGTGAGAGGGTGGACGCTCTCTGCAGCTTGTGACTTGGCTCTTCGAGACACAAATGGACAGGTGGTTGGTTAAAATAGGCCTGGTGGCCCCCAGCCAAAGGAACTTAGCTGACCTGACAACCTCTGGATTCCCTCAGCCTCTGGTCTTCTCAGGGATCCCACATCTCCCCTCTGACCTCTACTTCTCTGCCTTCTGACAACTATAAAATTCTCAGTTTCTGACTTGAGGGGATGGGAGTCACCGCAAAGAATCTTTGAAAAGGTGAAAAAAGGGCTGTGTGTTTCTCTGTTAAGTGTAGCAGGATAATGGTGTTAAAGAGGGCAGGTTCTTGGTAAGACTTGACAGGTGGATCCTGGCTTCTGCATTTCATTGATTATACTAATATTTGCTGATCACCCCTGCTACACTGTTCTTGTGAGCTGCTGTCCAGTCCATCCCAACATATGTGACCCCCTGGTGTGCATAGAGCTGCTTCATTGAGTTTTCAAGGCAAAGGCTCTGGAGGTACATCTCCAGGCCTGTCTTCGAAGGTGCCCCTTGGGGGGTTTCAAACTGCCAGCCTTTCACTTAGTCACCGTGTGCTTAACTGTGTGCTGTCCAGGGGCTCCTACACTATTTTAGGCATGAGAAATACAGTCTTGATTAGATTAAAATTCAGGCTTTCATTTTTAGTGGGAACAAGTTCTCTAAACCCATTTCTTCATCTTTAAAATAGAAATAATGATAGTATTATTACTACTTCTAAATACCTTACACACCACTTGAGAAACATTCATTATTCATTACCTATAACTGTTATTAGGAGTATCTTTGTGGCAGAAGTGGTTACATGTTAAGTGAAAGACTGACTGTTTGAAGCTATCCAGAGGTACAGTGGGAGAAAGCCTGCGTGATCTCTTGATAAGTCCTGGCTCCTGAAAACCTTCCAGAACCTCAGTACATGGGGTTGTTATCAGTTGGAATCAGTGCAACAGCAACTCTTCCCTCAATTAAAAATAAAATACTGAGTAAGATTTCCTTGTTTAAGCGCCTAATTCTTTGTTGTTGTTCTTAGGTAATCCAGTACCAAACAGTTCGATATGATATCCTTCCCTTATCTCCTGTATCCCGGAATCGGTTAGGTGAGTCTGTTGGTGGGGAAGCCTCTTTAAGGTGAAGAAGAGTCCCAGGTTCTTGTCTGTTGAATGGCTGGTTTTCTCTCTTCACTATTGATTCAGGCCAGGTGAAGAGGAAGATCCTGGTACTGGATCTGGATGAGACACTTATTCACTCACACCACGATGGGGTTCTGAGGCCCACAGTCCGCCCTGGAACTCCTCCTGACTTCATCCTTAAGGTATGTGGGGGTGTCAGCCACTCTGCTTACAGGCATACTTTCTCCCATTCTAGACCATCTCATATTCATTCCCTTGCACCAGCATCAGCCTGAAGGAGGGGGACAAGCAGTGAGGGGCAGGGGGTTCCCTAGAGTGGTGGTGTGATGTTCA